TTATGCAGGGGAAGGCGGTGTTGGTGCAGGCGCGGACGGGGAGCGGCAAAACCCTCGCGTTCGGGATCCCGATCGTGGAGCGGCTGCGCCGGCTGGGCGGAGGGGGGGCCGCCGCGCGCGGGCGCGGCCCCGCCGCCGTCATCTTCTGCCCCACCCGCGAGCTCGCGATCCAGGTCCAGGACGTCCTCGGGGGGATTAGCGGGGGCCTGGTGGTGACCGCCCTCTACGGCGGCGTCGCCTACGCCAGGCAGGAGCGCGTGCTCTACAACGGCGTCGATATCGTCGTGGCGACCCCGGGCCGGGCGAAGGATTTCCTCGAAAAGGGAACCCTCCGCTTCGACCGCGTCGCGATGGTGTGCCTGGACGAGGCCGACCACATGCTGGATATCGGCTTCAAGGACGATATCGAGCTGCTGCTGGGGAAGGTCGCGGAGCAGAACGGCTCGCAGGGCCTGGAGAAGCCGAAGCACCAGACCCTGCTCTTCTCCGCGACCGTCCCGGACTGGGTCCAGAGCTGCTCCCTTATCCCCAAAGAGAAGGAATTTATTGACATGGTGGAAAAAGGAGCAGTGCGGACGGCGAGCACCATCCGCTTCTACCGGCGGAAGTGCAATTTCAAGGAGGTCTCCTCCATGTTGGCGGACCTGATTAAGGTGTATAGCGGCGTCCACGGCCGCACCTTAGTCTTCACCAACACCAAAAAAGACTGTCATGACTTGTCGATTAACAACACCAAGTTGGACTCCCAGTGCCTGCACGGGGACATGCAGCAGGAGCAGCGCGAGAGCACCATGAAGAGCTTCCGCGACAACAAATTCAGCGTCCTCATCGCGACCGACGTGGCCGCGCGAGGGCTGGATTTGCCGATGGTGGATTTGGTCATCCAATGCGCGCCGCCGAGCGATATCGACGCCTTCATCCACCGCGCCGGGCGGACCGGCCGGGCCGGGCGCAAAGGCGTCTGCGTCCTTCTCTACCAGCCCCGCGAGGAGTACATCGTGGAGCGGATTGAGCGGCACGCCAAGACGCGCTTCGAGATCCTCCCGGCGCCGACGCGGGAGGAGATCCTGAAGGCCGTCGCGCGGGACGCCGCCGAGGAGCTCGCGCGGGTGGAGCGCCGGGCGACGGATCTCTTTATGGACCAGGCCGCGGACCTTTTGAAGGACGCGGACCCCGTCGAGATCCTGGCCTCCGCGCTGGCGGTGATGAGCGGGTATACCTCGCACATCAACAGCCGCGGGCTGCTCACCGGGACGGAGGGCTTCGTGACGCTCCAGATGACCTCCGAGCGGACGCTGCCGATCCCGGTTTACTGCAGTATCCTGCGCAATCACCTCGGGGATGATATCTTCATGCGATGCCGGGATATCACCCTCCTGCAGGACGAGCCCGGGTGCGTCTTCGACGTGCATGAGCAGTTCGCCGACCGCGTGATGGCCGCCGCGATTCGCGGCATGTCCACCGTCCGCATTGACGTCCTGCCGACCATCATCGCGCGCGAGCTCAACTCCCAGCGGGGGGGCGCCCGGGCCGGCGGCGGATTTCGAGGCCGCGGGGGGGCCGGAGGGG